GGGGGTGGTGGCGGAGGCGGCGGGGGCCCGGGGTCCCGGCAGGCCGCGTAGCGCTGCACAGTGCACGCCGCGCGCCGCCCGAAGCCCGCCTCCGGCTGGAAGCTGCTCTCTCGCCTCTGGCCGCCGGCGTAGTACCCAGGCGAGTGGTCGCTGGGTAGGTAATCGCTCTGTGAATATTCCTCGCACGGAGGGAACTTGGGGTCGACATAGTTTGAGTTGATCAAAAAAGAACTCATAGCCATTAATTTCTGAGAATTGCCCACAAAATATACTAAAATTTATTCCGACCCCTGACTCGTTTTCCTGTTTCCGAAAGCCCTCCTACTTACTGTCAAGTGAACAAAGTTAGGGGCCCACGTGATCCTCGGAGCCAATGGCCGCCCCGCCTGCGATTCCCGGATAAGGAAATCTGCTCACCCAGACCCTACTCCAGCCAAAGAGGTTTATTTCCCCTTCTTCTCTCCCCCCCTCCCCACCCACCCAGCACCAGGATTTACATAGGGCTCCTGCGGGGCGACCGCCTCCTCGCCTGCCTCTCTCCGGAATCAGGGAGAGGGAGAGAGAGAGAGAGCAAGAGCGAGCGATCAGGTTGTCACCGGAGGGCCTGCTGGGGCGCTGGGCAGAGCGCAATCCCTGGATCCCCTCAGAAGTTGGGGCTCCCGGCATAGCCCCTCCTGCCCTGTCTCACCTCCGCTCAGCATTCTCGGCCTTCCATAGGCCCCCATCCCCTCCTCACAACGGGAGGGAGCCCATGGACGCGGCGTCTTTGTGGGGAGTTAAGTGAGGGGCGGACTGGGGGCTCCGCCTATACAGGGGAACCCACATGGGGGCGAGAGGCACTGAACACGGGGCTTTTCTCTGCAGTCGCATGGGGAGGGGTAGGGAGTGAGAGAGGAGGCGTCGGGAGCAAGCAGGCGGGTGCACGGAGGGACTTGTCAGAGATGAATGGAACCGCGGGCGGATCGATAGGAAATTCATGCACTAATTCGGGGAGACCTCGCCTTCCAAATCGCATTTAGCTGCGCTATTAGTTTGGCTGTGTCAGTCAGTCCGTCCGTTCCCCTCTCCTATCCATTCCTCCTCTTACCCCACGCGGCCCAACCTGGAGAAACGACTTGGTTTCCCACACTGAACATGAGCGCTGGAGTAAAAAATCTGCAACTTTTGAGAGCGCATTGAATAGCAATTTGCTAATTCCAGAACCACCGGAGCAATACTAACCACCGCGTCCAGACGTTCTAATTGCCGCTAATGCAGCCGCCTGCGCAGCAAAGAGAAATCTCACATCCTTGTGACGCTGGGGATAGGAGCCCTAGAGGTGACCCCCCCACACACACAATAACACCCCTTGGTAATCGCGTATTTCCAGGGCGTCTTGTTCTGAACCCAAACGGAAAGGCAACCTCAGCATCCGTTTGAAAAGCGAATTTCCTTTGCCTTCGCACACTGAAGACAACAGTCATTTTTTTCCGAATTTTCAGTAAAACCTCCCTGAGCCCAGAACAGAGAATAGGTAGGCTTGAGAGAGAGGATAAAATGAAAACATCAACAACATTAACCTATTAAGAGAAGTGAAAAAGGATTAAGGCTTCCAGGGTGCAGGCGTGGGGAGATTTCAGGTAGATGATTCCTCCATCTCTAACCAGTTGAAGGAGGAAAAGAAAGAGGAAGAAAGAAAGAGGAAGGAGTCTTCGCGTGGTCAGTCACCGGATGGTCCTCATTTAGAAAAAAAAATTTTCTTCGGGGAAAAAAAATGAGCGGAGTGTTTATGTCAACTACATATTCCCCTAGATACGAATTTGTGACCACAAAATTCCTTACACAAATTCGGATCTACAGGGTATATACAGAAGACAGACAGATCTTCTTGGCCCAGAAATTTTCCAGTTCTCCTACTTTCTGCGCGTTCTTCGTTTGGGGTGTGGTTTGAGTGCTTGGAATTTATTTCGTTTTGTTCTAGTTTTGAGCTCTGGGAACAGGAAAAGACACTGCGGGTCCATTCTTGGGATTACAAGGTTTTCAACTCTCTTTCTCTTCTATTAAAGAGAAATAGAAGCAAGCAGTCCGCAAAGGAGGCGAACCTCGCGGCCGCCGCGAAACTCTCGGCGGCGCATGAATTATGAGATGTAAACATTAGCTAAGCACAAAAGGAGGAAGGGTCATCCTGAGGCTGCCGCGAAGTCAGAATCAGGCCCTTCTGGGTGCCCTCGCGCCCCTCCCCTCCACCCCAGGACTTTTATTTTTTTTTAAAGAAAAACAAAACCCCAATCTGCTCCTCCGTGCCTCTCGCAGGCTTTAGTTTGCGATCAAACGAATATCTAGATATTTTCCAAGGCGCCTCTCAGCAAAGGGAGGAGGGAGAGGCAGCTGAGTGTGAAGGGGGTGTCATAAAAGTCCTTTTGGAAAAATTCAATGGTAAAAAGAGAGAAACAGCTGTAAAGAAAAATGCTAGGAGACCAAGCAGATGGGGCCCCGGATATTTAATGATGGGCAATTCCGTTTACAACCTGAGAAAAAGATCAAAGGCGATTCATTTCCGAATGAAGGGCGATGAGGAACCATAAAAGATGCAGCCAGATGATATTTCGGCCCCTCCCAACCTCCCATACCTCCTGGGGCCAGAAAAGGGGGATAATCCCCAAATTGTGGGGAGGAACCCTGTTTTCCCCACCTCCCTAGCCCCAGGCAGGTTCTTTCTGTCTGAAGTTTCTCACCTGGCCACCTTCGAGGGTTGCTAGCAGTGGGACCAAAATGGGGATCTGGGAAATCTGGGAGATCTAGGGGTTCCTAACGAACTTCCTGAGGCTCCCAGTAGCCACCCAATTTACTAAGCTGGGAGAGAGGACTGGGCTGGAGGGAACTGAGTCCTAGAATGTGAAGGCTGAGGGCCTTCACAGGGTGAGGGGAAATGTGCACAGAAGAGGCCTCCTCCCCACCCGACTCCCTACCCATCTCTCTAGGTCCGAGAAATACTTGCATCCCTAGTGAGCAAGTCAGAAGAATAACAATTTCATTAACAAATACAGCAACAACACAAAAAAACAACCCTCTAACCACTACACTCCAGAAAT